TGTTAGAGCAAACAAAGGAAAATAACAGCTGATTCATACATTGTTGTCAGCGTTTGGCCGCACTTCAATACAAAAACAGTTGTGCGTTTAATCAAAAAAGTTTTTTCGTGAAGAACAATAAAATTAAAGAAAATAATATAAAATAACAACAAAATGACTCGGAATATGTGGTTTCAATTATAAACCCCCGCCAAAAACCAAAAGTGGCGAAGGATTGGGTAGAGGAAGACATTTTAAAACAGATTGCCTTGGTGGAATCAAGAGTGTTTGTGGAATGCAGGTCATGTTGCTTACCATAATAAGATGCTCCGGCGGGAAATTTGCATTTCGAAGATAAATACACCACTGCAGACCTTAGTGCAAAATGGACCAACCTCCGGATTCAATATAGGGGTTATTCCTGCAGATGCAAAACCATGTCTGAACAAGGCTCAGTGGAACCGCTGAAGTGGAAATTTTTTAATGCGATGAACTTTGTTAGACGGCCGGAAGAAATGCAAACGGAAGAAACAATTTCTAATCTTTATATAGATATCAAAGTAAGTATTTACAATTATGTATTATATATATTCTTACAAATTTAATAATTTCATGTATTTTACCATTCTTCTCGGCATAGCCCATTACTTCAAGATCAAGGCGATCCAATGTATCCAATGTACAATGAGCGACATCCCAGAATGCGGAAATTATGCAGCAGGCTGTTAATACTATAAAGCAACGAAATCAGAACTCCTTGCACCCCCAACACTGTAGGTGTGCGTAATATCCGAAAACGTGCTCACAACATTCCAAATGTATTTTCCAAAACTCTCCTAGCTCTAGATAAACGATAATTAAAAACTCTCTGAATTGCATTCATGTTGCGGATACTATAAGGTTTTAATATATTTGTTGTCATAGCAAATGCATCATCAGCAACAAGAACATATGGAACTGACACTGTTCTTAGCGGACCAGAGTTTCATTAAATGACGTTTTTCGGAAAACTCCACCATCTGACATTCTTTCATTCGATCCGACATCGATATACAAAAACTTATATGAGGCATCTGCTACAGCCATGAGTACTATACTGTGAGTTCTTGAAATATATTTTTTATAGTTTATATAGTTCACACAATGCTTCAAACTTACTTTTATAGTTGTAAAATATGCTTCCAGAGCGAGGTGGTGCCGCCATGACAATATGTTTAGCGTCTACAGACCCAATGCAATTCGGGAAATTCCATTTGTCCATACATTTTTCAGTTACTGCTTTCTTTCTGTTGATGGAGTCTGCTTAAAAATATATTAATATATATTTGTATCAAATCCGAACCAATTGAGTTAAAATTACCTTCAAATACTCCGGCTGTAAAACTTTATAAAGAGCATCACACACATGGTACAATAATACAAGGTAGGGCAGCCTAAGTTGAATAACAAAAAAAGGTGGTGGCTTCTTTTGCCAAATGTTTGTGTTTATTTGACATTTTTCAACACATAACTAAAAATGCGAAAAATGAATGAAAGGTTATGATTTCTTTCAAAAATCTAGTAGGGAATACCATGAAAAATTTGTTTCTTCCATAATAAATTAATTACTTCCAGACTCAAGCGTTAAAACATTCTGTGTAATAGCCTAGACAGACGGTAGCCTTAATTTGCATTAACAACCTTAATTCAAATTAATTTGAGCATTATCTCCTTTTATATGTCAAGTTAAATGCACGAATTTGAACATGGTACAATTATAAAAGGTAACAGCAAATCCCAGCTGATTTGATTCCAAGGTAATACTAGTGTCAATATGAATTTGACAAATTATGTTTTTAAAAATCACCCAACAGGAAAATTGGGAACGCATACAATTTGAAATTGTTCTTTATTAAATTTGCTCTTGTATTCAATTTACTCAATCTGCCTGCTGGGGAAGTTTGAGGAAGCAAATCTTTATTCAAGGAATAACTCGCTATTCCCAGCATTTTCATATGTGTTACACATATATATGGCAATGGCTCAATTATAGGAAAGATGTGGAAGCGATAGAAATATAAATTTGATAGATTTTCATTCATGTTTTTCAATTTTTATTTTGAGGATTCGAAAATATTTCATTTTCAAAATAAAAATAATTTGATGATAATTTGTTTATTTGTTTACATTTTTCTGTCAAATGAGTTGACACTAGTAGAACTTACAAAAACAAATTTCCATGTGGTTGTTGTATCGTTTTTTGTACAACAACACTTGCTGTTACCTTTTAGTATTATACCATGATCATAGTGTTTCCAATTTCAATTGCTTTAAGGTAAGTTTACACTAGGCAAATATTTGACGAAAAGTGTAAAATATTTTTTTGCCATAATCTGACCACAAAATATTTTCAATCGCAGACATAAAAACTGCTGATTTTGGGCAAACAAAATTTTGTTTGATTTGCCCACAATGTGAACGCCGACTAGCAAATATTTGCGTTATTTTTAGGCAAACAATTATTTGCCCTTACAATATTTTTGTTAGAGCAAACAAAGGAAAATAACAGCTAATTCATACATTGTTGTCAGCGTTTGGCCGCACTTCAATACAAAAACAGTTGTGCGTTTAATCAAGAGAGTTTTTTGGTGAAGAGCAATAAAATTAAAGAAAATAGTATAAAATAACAAAAAAATGACTCGGAATATGATGTTTCAATTATAAACCCCCGCCAAAAACCAAAAGTGGCGAAGGATTGGGTAGAAGAAGACATTTAAAAACTGATTGCCTTGGTGGAATCAAAAGAGGGTTTGTGGAATGCAGGTCATGTTGCTTACCATAATAAGATGCTCCGGCGGGAAATTTGCATTTCGAAGATAAATACACCACTGCAGATCTTAGTGCAAAATGGACCAACCTCCGGATTCAATATAGGGGTTATTCCTGCAGATGCAAAACCATGTCTGAACAAGGCTCAGTGGAACCGCTGAAGTGGAAATTTTTTAATGCGATGAACTTTGTTAGACGGCCGGAAGAAATGCAAACGGAAGAAACAATTTCTAATCTTTATATAGATATCAAAGTAAGTATTTACAATTATGTATTATATATATGCTTACAAATTTAATAATTTCATGTAGATGATTGTATTTCACCATTCTTCTCGGCATAGCCCATTACTTCAACATCAAGGCGATCCAATGTATCCAATGTACAATGAGCGACATCCCAGAATGCGGAAATTATGCAGCAGGCTGTTAATACTATAAAGCAACGAAATTAGAACTCCTTGGACCCCCAACACTGTAGGTGTGCGTAATATCCGTAAACGTGCTCACAACATTCCAAATGTATTTTCCAAAACTCTCCTAGCTCTAGATAAACGATAATTAAAAACTCTCTGAATTGCATTCATGTTGCGGATACTATAAGGTTTTAATATATTTGTTGTCATAGCAAATGCATCATCAGCAACAAGAACATATGGAACTGACACTGTTCTTAGCGGACCAGAGTTTCATTAAATGACGTTTTTCGGAAAACTCCACCATCTGACATTCTTTCATTCGATCCGACATCGATATAAAAAACTTATATGAGGCATCTGCTACAGCCATGAGTACTATACTGTGAGTTCTTGAAATATATTTTTTTATAGTTTATATAGTTCACACAATGCTTCAAACTTACTTTTATAGTTGTAAAATATGCTTCCAGAGCGAGGTGGTGCCGCCATGACAATATGTTTAGCGTCTACAGACCCAATGCAATTCGGGAAATTCCATTTGTCCATACATTTTTCAGTTACTGCTTTCATTCTGTTGATGGAGTCTGCTTAAAAATATGTATATTAATATATATTTGTATCAAATCCTAACCAATTGAGTTCAAATTACCTTCAAATACTCCGGCTGTAGAACTTTATAAAGAGCATCACACACATGGTACAATAATACAAGGTAGGGCAGCTTAAGTTTAATAACAAAAAAAAAAAAAACTATGTAGGTGGTGGCTTCTTTTGCCAAATGTTTGTGTTTATTTATCTAGTAGGGAATACCATGAAAAATTTGTTTCTTCCATAATAAATTAATTACTTCCAGACTCAAGCGTTAAAACATTCTGTGTAATAGCCTAGACAGACGGTAGCCTTAATTTGCATTAACAGCCTTAATTCAAATTAATTTGAGCATTATCTCCTTTTATATGTCAAGTTAAATGCACGAATTTGAACATGGTAAAATTATAAAAGGTAACAGCAAATCCCAGCTGATTTGATTCCAACGTAATACTAGTGTCAATATGAATTTGACAAATTATGTTTTTAAAAATCACCCAACAGGAAAATTGGGAACGCATACAATTTGAAATTGTTCTTTATTAAATGTGCTCTTGTATTCAATTTACTCAATCTGCCTGCTGGGAAAGTTTGAGGAAGTAAATCTTTCTTCAAGGAATAACTCGATATTCCCATCATTTTCATATGTGTTACACATATATATGGCAATGGCTCAATTATAGGAAAGATGTGGAAGCGATAGAAATATAAATTTGATACATTTTCATTCATGTTTTTCAATTTTTATTTTGAGAATTCGAAAATATTTCATTTTCAAAATAAAAATAATTTGATGATAATTTGTTTGTTTGTTTACATTTTTCTGTCAAATGAGTTGACACTAGTAGAATTTACAACAACAAATTTCCATGTGGTTGTTGTATCGTTTTTTGTACAACAACACTTGCTGTTACGTTCTATTATTATACCATGGAATTTGAACTGAATTTAGAAATTTCAATATGGCAATGCTGTTGAAAATCAATCAATCATTGTCAAATAGTTTACATTTGGTCTGTTCCCGTACTGCAAGAATCTACTAATTTTTACTACGATACCTTTATGACATCGAACAAAATAGTAAGAACTAGTAGATTCTTGCAGTACGGGAACATACCAATTTTGTGTAAATAAAAATGGAAAACACAACAGAAAAAGTAAGTTTTTTTTAATTTAAGAACGAAATATTAATAATATGAATTTTAAGATGTCAAAGGGGAAGGAACGTAGTGTGTGGTGCGACAGTGATACACATCATTTACTTCAACTTTGGGAAGAACGTGCCAACGACTTGCGGCGTGCAAAACGGAATGGTCACATTTACCAAGATATTGCAGCGCAAATGAACCATAAATTTACTGCGGAAGAGGTGCAGGTCAAGATTCGAAATTTCACGCAAAAATACAGGTAATTTTATTTCTTCTTTTTATCTAAAATTAATATTGCAATTGTAGGGATGAGAAAATGGAAATGGGGCCGTCTGGTGGGAGCCCATCGAAATGGAAATTCTTCGAAGCCGTGCACCGGATAATAGAGAGCAATGCGGCGAATAATGCGGAAGTTTTGGAATCGTTTTTATTTGTAAGAAATAATTAATTATATAATATGCATTTATAAATTTATAAATTTTGTCTTTATTTAGAAATATACGTCTGATTCAAGCAACCATCCCGAAACATCACCATTGTCTCCATCGCCACAGCCATATCTTGATGTCGTGTTTCCCCCAGCAAGCCCATCTTCGTCGTCCTCTGCAAAAAAGAGAAATAATTTAGGCGAAGTTATAAAAATTATGAAAGAGCAAAATGATATGCTGAAATGTGTGGTAGAAGATAGCCAATGTCTGTCAAATCAAATTGTGAGTGCTATCAGAGAACAAAATGAAACCAGCCGAGAATTTATTAATTTAATGAAAAATGTAATAGATAAGATTTAGAATTTACTTTAATTTATTTACTTTAATATATAATAAAATATAATTTTACTTACTGAAACTCAATGCTATTGCATTTCTTATGGTTGATGCTGTCACATCATTTTCACCTCTTATTGTTGTGTGGCTAGGCTGAGGAGGTGCAGTTGAGTCTCCGGCAACATTTTCCATCCACACAAGAGAAACTTCATCGTTCTCGATTTCAAGAAGTTGTGCAAAATACAACATGTTTTTATTATTATGTTGACATTTTTTGTTGATACATGTAAGCCTCTACCTATTCTCCCGAAACATCACCATTGTCTCCATCGCCACAGCCATATCTTGATGTCGTGTTTCCCCAAGCAACCCCATCTTCGACGTCCTCTGCAAAAAAGAGAAATAATTTAGGCGAAGTTATAAAAATTATGAAAGAGCAAAATTATATGCTGAAATGTATGGTAGAAGATAGCCAATGTCTGTCAAATCAAATTGTGAGTGCTATCAGAGAACAAAATGAAACAAGCCGAGAATTTATTAATTTAATGAAAAATTGAATAGATAAGATTTAGAATTTGCTTTAATATATAATAAAATATAATTTTACTTACTGAAACTCAATGCTATTGCATTTCTTATGATTGATGCTGTCACATCATTTTCACCTCTTCTTGTTGTGTGGCTAGGCTGAGGAGGTGCAGTTGAGTCTCCGGCAACATTTTCCATCCACACAAGAGAAACTTCATCGTTCTCCATTTTCAAGAAGTTGTGCAAAATACAACATGTTTTTATTATTATGTTGATATTTTTTGTTGATACTTGTAAGCCTCTACCTATTCTCCTAAATCTAGCTTTCAGTTGCCCAAATGCATTTTAAATCACGCGGCTACATTTGGATAGTCGGTAGTTAAATATTTTTTCTACATCTGGCTGATTTATTGAGTAAGGGAAAGGCTTCATCATATAGCGCGATAAGCGGAAGGTTGAATCGCCAATAAGCAACAAAGGCACATAGATACCGGCATGAATTTATGCAATTAGATAGGTTATTACATATCGCATTGCAAAAATCTACCACAATTTCACCAACGGTGCTGCGTCCCACACCAAATAAACTTGCAATAGTCCTATATTCCGCTGAGGATCCCAATGAAAATAGTGCAATTGCAACTCTCTTTTCAAGTGGTATACATGGCCTCATATTTGTGTCAAACTTTTCCATATTTCGAACTTTTTCGCAGATCTTTCGAAAGGCACTCCTGTTGAGGCGAAAGTTTTCCTTAAATCTGCTATCATCCATCGCAGGCACGTCATGTTCCCAAAAATTGCTATTCCGATCCTATAAAAATACATTTATACATGTGAATGTTAAAGGTCGTTTACATTTAACCGGATTTGGTTAACCCAGTGGGTTTAAATTTTCAATTCCTTTGAATATATGCCAAATAAATCCTCATAAAGTAGGTTAACCCGGTAAAAAGTTCTAATGTAAATGCCGTATTATACTATATGAAATGCACATAAAACTTACCAATTTCCACAATTGCCTGTCTCTTATTTCAGATCCTCCTTCTGCGATTCCAACTTGCAACACTTTATGATTAGTGGTTGATAGTGCATGAATAACTCTCAAATTCTGGATCAACAATTTAAGCTTGCTTTCAAATAAGTATTGATGTTTCACAAGCATCATAGCTGCTAATCTTATTTTTTGTTTTCTATCCATTTGTTTTCTAGTGTCTTCCAAATTATTTTTATTTTTACACAAACAAAAATTTATTCAGCTGTTACATAAATGCAGAAATTGTCGTCTGTCAGGGTGAAATTTAAATTCAAATTAAAATTTGTTTAATACAAATTAACGTTCTCGTCTGTCTACGGTATAAACGTAGCCGACACACTAGAAATAAGCTGCGTGCTATGAAAACATTTCATATTAATTTCGTGTTGGCAATACCATTTGACGGCAACAACATGGCAACACTTGCCACAAAATATTACCATATGTTGTTTGTTTTCGTTTATTATTCGACGTGTTGGTAACTCCGTTCTTTTTGGGTTTTGCGTCGCCTCGTGGTTGTTGTGCGCATTAAATACCCGTCTAATATTTTTAATTTTCCTTTTTGATTTACACGTGTAACCGGAGGAAAATTGCAGCAAAATGAGTTTGTATAATTTTAAGAAAATTATGGTGGTTCCGCCAGCAAAGGTATGTTAAATATATAAACAAAAAATCTAACTTTAGTTTGGGACCCCATTTGGGGTCCATTATCATAACCTATTTGTGTGACAAATAGCAACAAAAATTGTTATTTGGGACACTCCAATAATGTTTACAAATAATGATGAAATTCTATGTTTGTTTCTTTCCAGGACTTTATCGACATTATGTTGTCGAAGACACAACGTAAAACTCCCACAGTTGTGCACAAAGGCTACAAGATATCCCGTATTCGTGCCTTCTACACACGCAAAGTGAAATTCACCCAACAGAATTTCCACGATCGTCTGTCGCAGATTATCCAAGATTTCCCCAAGTTGGATGATGTTCATCCCTTCTATGCGGATTTAATGAATGTTCTGTACGACAAGGACCATTACAAATTGGCTTTGGGTCAATTGAATACAGCACGCCATTTAATTGATAAGTAAGTATGACCATTGATAGCAAAGATAATGAAATGTTCTAATTGCTTTCTCTTTGTAGTGTTGGCAAGGATTATGTCCGCTTATTGAAATATGGTGATTCTTTGTATCGCTGTAAACAATTGAAAAAGGCCGCCTTGGGTCGCATGGCCACCATTATGAAACGTCAAGCTTCCAATTTGACATATTTGGAACAAGTACGTCAGCATTTATCCCGTTTGCCCACCATTGATCCCTATTCGCGTACCATCATCATTTGTGGTTTCCCCAATGTGGGTAAATCATCGTTCATCAATAAGATCACTCGTGCCGATGTTGAGGTGCAGCCATACGCTTTCACCACCAAATCCTTGTATGTTGGTCACACCGATTACAAATATTTGAGATGGCAGGTAAGTTGTCATAATGATAAATATTTATTTTTGTAAGGGATATAACTTAGGGAGAGTAGTCAGAGGGAGAGTAGTCAGGTTGTAAAGGAATGAAATTACCTTGAAAAATCAAGATGTAGCCCTGAATATAAACAAGATATATATTGGAACAAATGTTCTGTAAGGCAACATCTTAGAAAACCAAAGAAAAGAAATTTGTTCCCAAATTTTGTGCACTTCATGTATGGTTGCTTGATATTAAAAACGATATATATCAGCCCATGTTTGGAATATCCCCCGATTTTAAACATTCTGGCTTTTCGTCAAAGAATTGTCAATACAGATACAGTTGCGAAGAATAAAATAGCACCGCAAATAACCTTTTCATTTTGTTTAAAAAAAATTGCTTAAAAATGGAGGAACGTTTTATGGACAGATGAAACTAAGATTGTGCTGTATGGGCTGTATATTTTTGAACATAGCACATAACGGACATTTCCTATTTTAGATATTTTGAAAGAAGTAGCTTTAATTTTGCATTCCGCATTTTCAGAGGATAAAATACTTCTTTGTTAGGTAAACAATTTTGGCGAAGTAATTTTTCTGTAGAATCAGAACCTCTATAAAAAATTAGCTACATTTTCGTTATTTCTAACCAACCAAAGTTATTTAAACTAGTATTTCCCTTTCTCAGATAATATAATAATTTCCAGATATATGTTTTGGCCGATTATAAGGGTTCAGACCGATTTGAAGTATTTTGAAGGACCTATTCTTATTTTCCAAACGAAGCAGTTTTAATTTGACATTTACATATCTGAGAGAATAAAATATCTCCTTGCTTAGGGTCAATTTAAGATCATCATCTAATATAGCTCTCATATATCTATCCCGACAATTCGAAACATAAAGATTCGGGCTTAATTTTCGAACCGAAGTGATTTTAATATGGCTTTTAGTGTTCTCATGCCACAAAATACCTCTTGGCAGAATATTTGCAATTTTTTGATATAGATCCCATGTAAGGTTCAAAACTAAATTTAGGTATTTCAAGGGTCTTAATAGTATGGTTCATTCGAAGTGGATGGAATTTGGTATTTCAGATTCTCAAAGATTAAAAGACTTCTATGAGAAAATATATATTTCTGTATATAGAAAGATAGAAAACATATAGGTCTATGTTTTTAAGGTCCTAGCCGGATTTCCGAAGTAGCTGCCTGGTATTGAGGTTTCTCAAAAGATATATATGTATAATTTTTCAATATGGAACGTAATTTCAAACCAATGGAGGTATTGAAGCCCTTACTGGAAAATATTTAATATAGGGGCTCATCTTGGATTTTTCTGACATTTCTATCACAGGCTGTTCTCGTCCCCCTGATCCATACTTTCCGAGATATTGACCTCTGAAGTTCCGAAATTCATATGGTCATACCTTTGTCATTTATGGACAGATGAAGGTTATGTTGGTATGGAAAACAAAATCGGAAATGAAATCTTAAAAAACTTGCTCCAAACATTCCTTTAAAATTCCATGTTGTTGCAGGGTAGACTCTGATAAACGTTTCTTCTAAGTATTCACTATTTATGCTGCGTAGACCTTTAAAAAATATTGATTTAAAATACACTTTTTTTGCAGGGTAGACCTTGAGAAAATTTTAGTTTAGGAATGCACGATTGTTGTAGGGATAGGCCTTGAGAAAACATTCCATTAAAATCCACGCTTGTTGTGGATATAGTCCTTGCAAAAAATATTTTTTAATTTTAAACAATATTTTTGAAATATCTACGTTTGAGGGCAGACCTTGAAAACATACGTCAAAGTTAACCATGCTTCATGAGACTTCTTGAAAATGTCACGATTGAGGATATTCCCTTAAAAATAATAATATTTATAAGATTACACATCTTATATAGTTCTTGAAAAATATTCTTGTAAACATTCACTCACACTTGTTAGGATAGTCTCACATTTTTCAAACGAATAACTAGTTTATATGAAGTTTTTAGAATAGAATACTCCAATTAGATAAAATATTTTGAAACATCTAATACAATTGGAACCCTTATTAAATTTCAAAAGAAACATATTTATATTCATTTTTTTCTTACAGGTAATTGATACCCCCGGTATTTTGGATCATCCCTTGGAAGAACGTAACGTCATTGAAATGCAGGCCATTACCGCCTTGGCTCATTTACGTTCATGTGTTCTGTACTTTATGGATATTTCCGAACAATGTGGCCATTCGCTGGAAGAACAAATTAAACTGTTCGAAAGTATTAAACCTTTGTTCACCAATAAGCCATTGATTTTGGCTATCAACAAAATCGATATTCTTGGCCTTGAAGATTTACCCGAAGAAAAGCGACAAGTTATTGAAAAATTACAAGAAGATAAAAATGTTCCTGTACTCTTCCTCTCGACCGTTAGTGAAGCTGGTGTTATGGAATTGAAAATGGAAGCTTGTGAACGTTTGCTCTCGTATCGTGTCGATCAAAAAATGCGTACCAAGAAAGTGGATAACATTCTCAATCGTTTACATGTTGCAATGCCTGCACCACGTGACGATAAGGTACGTGCTCCATGCATACCCGAACAGGCTTTGGCCCGTTTGGAAAAGAATGCTGAGCGTAAACGTAAACTGGAGAAGGATATCGAAGAGGAGTTGGGTGATGATTATACATTGGATTTGCAAAAGAATTACACCGAAATTGCCGAAGAGGAACGTTACGATGTTATACCCGAATTCTGGGAAGGACACAACATTGCCGACTACATCGATCCGGATATTTTCGAGAAATTGGAAGAATTGGAACGTGCCGAGGGTATTCGCGAAGAGGGTGGTGTTTACGATATTCCCGATATGACAATGGACGAGACACTGAAAGAAATTCGCGAAATGGCCAAGAAGATTCGTCTCAAGCGTTTCATGTTGCGCGACGAAAAACGTCTGCAGCCACGCAAAAACAAACCCATTATTCCACGTCACAAACAGCCCAAGGTGCGTGATCGTTCGGTTGGCAAATTGGTGGAGACAATGGAAAATTTGGGTGTCGATATGTCTGGTTCGGAGAATGCCAACTTCACCAAATCGGTGGTGGATTTAAGACGTGGCCAAGTTGCCGTTGGCACAAAGAAGGAATTGAAGAAGCCTCTGCTGGATAAGGAATCATCAGCCATTGTCAAGAAGACTGGCCAGCCATTGAAACGTAAGCCAGCACGCGATACCATGGGCATTAAGAATGTGGCCATGAAGAAGAAGGCACAAATTATGGCCAAGAAAGATATTGCCAAGAAGGTTACACGATTGGGTCTTAAGGGTGAAGCTGATCGTTTTATTGGTACCAAAATGCCCAAACATTTATATGCCGGCAAACGGGGTAGTGGTACAGCGGATAGACGTTAAGTTTTTTCATTCTATTTCAATTGTAGTTAAACTTATTTTTACGATCTTAAAATTGGGGGGCAAAATGCGATACAACATCTTTACAACTTGGGCTACACAAATAGGTTTGTTTCCTTGCGAATAAAAGGAACAGCTTTATTTTTTTTAGAATTTTACAAACTCTAATAATAATATGATGTACATTATTATATATTATTAATTATGATGCAGATGATGATAATAATATAAATATGTAATTTAAAAAAGAAAATTGAAAAAAGTTTTTTGATTTTTTTGGAATGGGATTGAATTGGTTTGCAAAATTTATGGGAATGCAATGGTTTTGAATTTCGCATTATGTGACGAAAAATGTGTGAAATATTAATAATTTGTGTCTTCGCGTTTTTTTTAATATAACTTCCTAAGCTATGACTTCGCATTCATTCAAAATGTTATCTTTGGCTTATCTGCCCTTAATTGTCCTGTTAAACCAACTCTTGTGTTAAATGAGATATAGCAGTTTAATTTAGATAAATGATCCTCCCATAATTAGGCACTTTTGAAAACAGTAAATAGCCTGTAAGCATTTCCATAAACCTGGAAATGGAAAAAAGAAAATTATAATACAGTAGTGTTGCGGATCATTTGGGATTTTGTTAAAAAAAATAAAATATTTTATCCAAATTCAATTGACTCCAAATTTGCCTACCTCCTTAAGAGTTATAACGGTTATATCAGCAATTCCCATAAAATTCAAAACAAATGGTTCCATGGTACACAAAAGCATAAAGAGCACACAACGTCTATATTTTGGGGAACCATCATACCAACTATGGGCATACAGGGATGCATTTACAAGGGAGCTCTATAAACATTTCTTATTATTATTAACTATTTAATTGTTTACGAATTTTGTACTTACACACTCCTTTAGTTTTTGTCCCACATAACATGTAATAATCACCTGTTTACTTTCGTATAGCAGCAGTATAAAAGCTTTGACTATGGTAAACATTGAAACATCGTCCAACATTTGATAGGCCACCAAACATAAGGTAAACGATGACGACATCACCGAGAATATTATGGAGAGAGCAAAAATACGATTGATTTCATTGGCTAAGCTGGAAGGAAAAACAAAATACAAGTGAAAAAGAGTTAAGATCGGCCGGGTCGAACATTGGATACCCCCACCATAGTTATACTGACAGGTGCTTGAAATGAACATATAGGGAACATACCAAAAAGTGGACCTATACCGACATTTCTACAAACTGATTTATGTAACCACTTTGGCTATATTCCATATACGACTACCTACCGGGTTAACCTACTCTATGAGGATTTATTTGACATGTATACAATGGAATTGACATTTGAAACCCATCGAGTTAACGAAATTCGTTTTATATTGTGATATATGGTGATACTGGATCCTGACAGTATGTAAGATACCCACAGAACAAAATTTACGATCAAAGAAGGTGGAGCACTTTTAAAGCTTTGAGCGTGTTTCTTGTACTGAGGATTTGGACCAAGATATTGAATTCAAATCGCAATTTATGCCGCTCAATGCTGCACCATATTATAGTTCTATATGCAGAATATGAAATACATATAAAATGGAAATTTCAACAGGACTATGATCCAAAACAAACCAGTCGATTAGCAAAAATATTCTCAAAAGGAACCATGGGTCTATCTCGATTATTTTTGCTTGTTACAAACATATGCACAAAGACATAATACCCTGTACCACAGTGTGGTGAAGTGTACAATTTTTTTTTAAACGCAACTCAAAATCTAAGTCTGAAAATAGTCCGTGAAATAATTTGAAAAAATCCTTGAAACAATCTCTCAAAAAAGCAATGCCTAAAATTAGTCATTAGAAATAAAATACCTAAAAAGAGTCCTTAAAAATGCACGCCTACAAATAGTCCTTAACAAATCCACGCCTATAAATATCCCTTGAAAAATAACTTTAAAAATTTAAGCCTGAGATTATTTGTGTTGTTTTTTTAAATCAGTGCCTTAAGGCAGACCTGGAAAATTATTTTTCATTAAACCATAGTTCTTAACAAAATTCAAACCTTAAAATAGTTCTTAAAAAAATCAAGCCTAAAAATATTCCTTCAAATCAGAATATTTTTAATAAATCTACGCCTGAGAGCAGTCCTTGAAAAAATATTTTTAATAAATCTACGCCTGAGAGCAGTCCTTGAAAAAATATTTTTAATAAATCTACGCCTGAGAGCAGTCCTTGAAAAAATATTTTTAATAAATCTACGCCTGAGAGCAGTCCTTGAAAAAATATTTTTAATAAATCTACGCCTGAGAGCAGTCCTTGAAAAAATATTTTTAATAAATCTACGCCTGAGAGCAGTCCTTGAAAAAATATTTTTAATAAATCTACGCCTGAGAGCAGTCCTTGAAAAAATATTTTTAATAAATCTACGCCTGAGAGCAGTCCTTGAAAAAATATTTTTAATAAATCTACGCCTGAGAGCAGTCCTTGAAAAAATATTTTTAATAAATCTACGCCTGAGAGCAGTCCTTGAAAAAATATTTTTAATAAATCTACGCCTGAGAGCAGTCCTTGAAAAAATATTTTTAATAAATCTACGCTTGAGAGCAGTCCTTGAAAAAATATGTTTAATAAGTCTACGCCTGAGAGCAGTCCTTGAAAAAATATTTTTAATAAATCTACGCCTGAGAGCAGTCCTTGAAAAAATATTTTTAATAAATCTACGCCTGAGAGCAGTCCTTGAAAAAATATTTTTAATAAATCTACGCCTGAGAGCAGTCCTTGAAAAAATATTTTTAATAAATCTACGCCTGAGAGCAGTCCTTGAAAAAATATTTTTAATAAATCTACGCCTGAGAGCAGTCCTTGAAAAAATATTTTTAATAAATCTACGCCTGAGAGCAGTCCTTGAAAAAATATTTTTAATAAATCTACGCTTGAGAGCAGTCCTTGAAAAAATATGTTTAATAAGTCTACGCCTGAGAGCAGTCCTTGAAAAAATATTTTTAATAAATCTACGCCTGAGAGCAGTCCTTGAAAAAATATTTTTAATAAATCTACGCCTGAGAGCAGTCCTTGAAAAAATATTTTTAATAAATCTACGCCTGAGAGCAGTCCTTGAAAAAATATTTTTAATAAATCTACGCCTGAGAGCAGTCCTTGAAAAAATATTTTTAATAAATCTACGCTTGAGAGCAGTCCTTGAAAAAATATGTTTAATAAGTCTACGCCTGAGAGCAGTCCTTGAAAAAATATTTTTAATAAATCTACGCCTGAGAGCAGTCCTTGAAAAAATATTTTTAATAAATCCACGCCTGAGAATAGTCGTTGAAAAAATATTAAAAAAATCACAAATTCACGCTTTGAGAGGCAGTCCTTGAATATGATTTGTTATTAATCCACGCTTGTGGATAGGCCTTGAGGGTAGATATACATTTTTTTACTCATACTCACTCCGTTATCTGCCGATGTTGTCGTATTAAAATATGCAACTTTTTGGTGACCAAATCTTCTCCCTCAGCCGGTTGCAGTTCCAAAATCCGGCGTGACAATAAATCATAGTGCATGCACAATTGTGTTATTAAACTATACAGACAGAGGTCACATCCAGTTATTGTCATTCCCGAAGATATCGCTGAAAATGCTCCAATCATATAATAGACGATATATAGCAGCCACCATTGATTATCCATGGGATCGCCCATCTTCCACAGCGATAATGGTAGAAATAATGTAAACTGTCCCATTGTCCATATGCAACGCAAAGACTGCACCAATGGTAGGGTGACATAGACCGGTCCCACCACACGATAAAACGACCAAATGAACTTTTCAATTCGCGAATAATAACGAAAATATTTCTTTAAATTATATTTTTCTTCCTCGCGATTTTCGGGATATATTTCATCGAGAGTTTTCAAAACCCTGGGCAAAGCTTGACGTCGATAATACATCGAGAGTAGCTTGCCCAATGCCACAAAATTATAATTGATATAAATGATGTTGGTCAAAAAATCTTCATCTTCCGCTTGGGTGGTGAGATTATAAACGATTTGTAGAACGATGCTTAAAATTTGATTTAAGGTAATTGCAATTTGAAGATATTTTGAATATTGTCGTGGTACAATTGTCATATCGATACCAAGAAATTTCAAAATGAAACGCGATACTTGAATGTATTTTTCAATTTTTTTTGAATCCTTTGAGACGTTAACTTGGGCCATGTTGATTATGGTTTGTGCAAATGATTCGAATGTTTTTCTTTTTATGAGAATGCATTGTTTGCCATCATCGTTGCAATGGAAAACTACCGAGCAGTGGACAGAGTGAGAATTTAATGCGGTTTTAAAAATGATGATTTGGTGCTAAAGTATGAAACACCCATATGGCACGTGGAGCGCTACTTCATTATGGAACATTCAACACGTGGAGCTCTATGTGTATTTAACCCATTGTGATTCGCTTTTAGCTCAGATTATAAACTATGTCATCTTCAAACAAAAAGGATGAAAGTGTATCCTCAAGAACACTTACAACCTACTAATAGATAAGAATCTAGACCAGATAATAAATTAAGAGAAACCCCAAAAAATCTGTTCTACACGAATATAAGTCAAGTCCCGATGGTGCGAAATAACAAAAAATTTTTTTTTTCCTTCCTTATATAATATGAGATGACGGGGCCGACCATACGATACCCTACACAACTACCACGGAACTCAAATTTTCTGCGGATGTTTATTCCGAGACTGGGCAATATTTCGTCTTTCCTCTTCCTCACACTGACATATTTTCCGAATATTTCGAGTATTCAGTACAGCTATTGTCCAGATTCCCTTCACCGTGGGTTGTGTTGTGATGTTCGGCTTTCATGTGAGGTCTATAGATCGACTCGAAAATAACACAAAAAATTAAGTTTTCGGTCCACTTCATTCAAAAATTATCTGATCATCACCGAAAATTATAGGCGTTGTCCTTGACCATAACTGGAACCTCATGGAACATTTCAAAGCGATCAG